TTTCCTGCACACACCCAACAAAATACAACACATGTCATGTGCATCATGACAACCTGATGTACCCCAAACTTCGTACATTGTGCCCAACATCAACCACACACCATCACCCACAAAGCAAAATCCGGGGGGGAAATTCACATTAATGAAACTGCAATTTTGACTGGGATATTCCTAAGCAAGAGGCCACGTCGTGGCACAATTCCCAGTTATTGACAAGCAGGGCCACAAAATCTCAGCAGCCATGTGAGGTTTTTATTATTAAGTTCTGGCCTCCCCGCCCCCCCCCCCCCAAGAAAGCCATTCTTGGCAGGTTCTGCTATCAGTGACTCTAAAGCAGCAAATGTTCCCAGGAAGAGAACATCCCCATGTTTGGAACAGCTGCCTTTGACTTTTTTGTGCTTTTGGAGTTATTTGTAAAGGATTCCAAAATTCTGATGGGAGCCGAAATAATTTGGGAGGAGCGTGGGTGGCGGGGAGAATACAGAGGTATAAAATCCATAGGGGTAGCGGTCTTAAATCTGCTGCACAAAGAGCAACAGGGAGTTTTATGGCTCAATAAGGCAGGCTGTTGTTTTTGTCAAACTACCATCCAAGCATCATGAAATCAAGAGACAACCCCACTCCATCTCTTCAGCATGATAAATTCAGGGCAAACAGGTCTGCACCACATCCCCAGATTCCACCAGCACCAGGTCTAAAAGTTCAAGACTCAGGGCCAGTGGCTGGTGAGGAAGCATCAAGAGTTGCAAATGTCGCTCGTGGCGCCACAAGGATCCTCAGTTTGGAAAGTTCACCCACATCACACAGCCAGTCACTTCCTGCTGCCTGGAATTCCTTTGAAAGGCTGAGGGATGAGACATGGCTTACAGCATGTCAGAAAGTCTGGTCCCCGTTTCGTGGACCCAGGATCACCTTTTACTATTTAGCCTTCTCACACTATTTAATGTGAACAGGAAGCCTCTTGTTCCCAGTGTTTGTGAACAATATGTGAATGCTTATAATACGTGAGCAAAGAACCACACCAAGATGTTTCACATACCTGCACAACACAACCAGCGGCAGAAACGCACTACAGACATGCCCTGCTAAGAACACACACAAAGGCCAGCACCTGAATGAGGCACACAAGTGGCAGGCGACACGCTTACCCTTCTGCTGTGAGCAGGCATGCCAAGTTGGACATGCAACGCCATCCCCCCCAGCTGGCGCAGGGATCACAGGACTGGATGCTTTATGCCAACGTACGTGGACAACGTCCTCTTTGTAGACCCTCACATGCCATTAGCATGCCAGGCACAAAGAACTCATCCTGGCAAGCCCCTCGGGTGTCCCACAAGCTGCCCAAGGGGGCATCTGGGTGCCCCCACAGGTGACTGAACCTCTCCCCTCCCATGCATACAGAGAGCACTTAAGGCCAAATACCCACAGAGGACCAACATCCAGTTCACCTGCCACCCCATTTGCCTCCCCACAGAAATTCAGCCCCAGGCTTCCTTTGCCACCCTTTAAACACAGAATCCACCCCTGCCCCTACAAGGAGGCCCTTGATGGTCACACCAGAGCTGAGGAGGGATGGGTTATAAACTGGAACCAACCCACAAAAGAGATTAAGAGAAGCTGACCCAGGTGAGTCAACACTAAAGGGGGGGGGCAACCTTCCCCCCCCCATCGTGTCTTTGTGTATTTGTTGTGAGGGGAGCAACTGAGCACCAATCAGGTTGCTGTGGCGGCCTGGCTATTACATAATGCCAGGGAGGGAGGGGAGAGTTACCTACTTCAGCCCAGGTAGGGAGAGAGAGGAAGCCAAGCACAGCTACATCCTCCCCTTCAACATACACATTTTAAAATAGATATATAAATATATATATACCGTGCATATATATAGAGAGAGGGAGAAGTGAGGGAGTTCAAGATTGCTTGGAAACCTTACTCCAGACCTCAGATGCAAAAAGGGGATGGGGAAGAGTGCAAGCTGGACAAACAGCTCAAGTCAAAGGGAAAAGCACTCAGCACATGCCTCTGAACTACCTCTTCCTGCCAGCTGGCATATTTCACCTGCACTATCTGGGGCTGAGCTTTGAAGGGAGGTTCTGGATTGTACCTGGATACAGATCAAGTCCGGCCACCAGGTGAGCAGAGTTGTGCACCCCCTCCCTCCCCCAGCAAGAAGGCCAGAAGGAAGCAGGCGAAGAAACCAAAGCCTTAGCCCGAGCCCCGGGAGAGAGAAGGCTTCTGCTCCAATAATCCCCACGCCCTGTCCCAGCAGAAACGGGCCCCTTCGCTGCCTTTCAACCCACCCAGCCCACTTGGAGCTGGCTGCCAGATTGCTGGGGGCCGGAGGCCTCCTGGGTCCCAATCCTCAGGCTTGAATCGCTTTTCCCCGACGGAATGAGAAGCAGAGCCCCGGTGAGAGGGCGAGGCGCTTGGCCCACCATCGGGGCGAGGGAGAGATGGAACAAGCCTTTGGCCACTGATCGCCCGCCCCGTCTGGAAAGCAAATGGGCCCAGGATCGCGCACGCGGAAACGGCCCCCGGGGGCGCCTCCCCGGGTGTCCACCGGCCGCCCCATTTTCCCTTGCCTCAACATGGCTGCACCTAGGCTGCGAGCGAACCTCCCCCCGCTTCCCCCGGGGACTTACCGTGCCCGCCGCGGGTGAGGAAGGGCGTGCGGTTGATGGCGATGGGCACGGTGCCGTGCTTGTTGTGGAAGTGGTGCACGTGGTGCGTGGTGCTCAGGCTGGAGGAGACGCGCGCCGCCCCCGCGGGCCCGGCCACGGCCGCCAGCACCAGCAGCAGCGCGGCGCCGGACGCCACCACGTCGGAGCCCCTCCGCGGCCCGGGGGGCGCCATCCGGCCCACCGCCGCCGCCCCGACTAGGGCGCTCCGCTTAAATCCTCGGTGCGGCGGCGGCGGCAGCAGCGGAAGCGGCATCCATGCCACCCCGCCGACGGTCCCCGCCCGCCCCGACGACAGAGCGGGAGGCAGGGAGGGGTCGGGATCCGGGCGGGGGGCAAACAGCACAAGGAAATTCCGCGGGGCGTGCGGCGGTGGGGGGGATGAACCCCCCAAGTCGGCGAAGGGAAACTCCGCGCTCCCACAACGGGGGCGAGGGCGGCTCCAGGCAGCTCCGGCTGTCGGCGGCGAGCAATTCCAGCGGGGAGACGAAGAAGGCCGGGCTGGGCTCCCTCGACGGGCGGGACGCCCCCTCCTCCCCTGCTCACGGCCGCCCCCCCGGCCCGGCAGCCATCAGGAGGTGCAGCGGCAGCATCCCGGCGGGGGCAGCGAAGGGCCGGGGGCCCCCCCGGGAGGAAAAGGAGGAGGCGCCGCTGGCGGGAAAAGAGGCACCATCCAGGGCGGGGGAGGGGGCGAGAGATTTACCGGGGGGAGGGAAAAGAAAGGGTGGGGAGAACAGGCAGGAGGGAAAGCGGGGCTACGGGTCGGGGGCGGGCATCGTGGCGCGGGGGGGGGTGGAAAAGCGAGGAAAAATGAACTCGGGAAGGAGGGGGGGCGGCTAGGCAGGCGGCAGCGGCAAAACCCAGCAATCCGGGGCGGGAGGGCTGTAATCCTTGCGGGGGGGTCTCCGAGCGGCGCCTCAACCGAAGCGATGCGATCCGTCCCTTCCCTGGCTCCAAAAAACACCAAGCCCCCCAAGCCCCCGTTCCTCGGCTTCGCGGCGCGTCTCTGCTGCAGAGCGGAGGGAAGGCTGGGAGGGGGGAGGGAGGGAGAAGGAGGGAGGGAGGGGCGGAGGAAGCGCCCAATCGCCGGCCAGGGAGCCCCCGCCCCGAAAGGGAAACAAATGCGCGCGCGCGCCCCCTCCCTCCTCTCGGCGTGCATATTTCGGCACCGGCGCCCCCCCCCCCGATATAAAGGATGGGGGGGGGAGAGATAGAGAAAGGAAAAGATCGTCGGCTAGCTGCTCCCTCCCCCTGCAGGCAGGGGCGGCGGCGCCCCCCCCCCCCGCCAAACCCGCACAAAAACAGCAACACGAGTTCTTCCCTCCACCGCTCCCCACCCTGTCGGCGGCCACCTTTGGAGGCGCCCGACCTCCTCGCCCCAACGAGTCGAAGCGCTCCGGCAAAGGAAAGCGCGCAGGGCGCGCAGCGAGGATGGATCGGAAGGTTCGCACCGGGAAGCGGCGGCAGTAGCGCTGTTAACCTCTTCCCTGCCGGTGGTCGGAAGAGGCGACCCTTCCGCGAATAATTTAGCACAGATGGTCCTTTAAATGGTATAAGAGGGTGGAGGGGGACCCCCGAGTGGGGAAATGCTAAGCTGAACCACGCACGCGAGACCCCAGCCAATCCACCCCGCTTCTTTGCAGCCCAGAGCTGGGGGGGGGGGGAGAGGCTACCCTGCTAGAGCCCCCACGCCCCGCCAGGCCATCGCCGGCTTAGAAACTCGCGTGCCCGGCTGCCAAATGTGTCCGGGAATCGTCTCCGTTTCCAAGCCAGCCGGAGGGGAAGCTTGGGAGACCCGGAAAGGAGCGGGAGGCGGTATAATTTGTCCCAGGCGCGGAAGAACGAATGCCCCTCCTGACCAAAACCTGCATGGAAGCTGGTGGCCTGGTGGAGAAGCCCAGCCTCCTTGGTCTCAGGCGTGGGGAGGAAGAAGCCACTCTGCACATGCTCATGTAACTTGCGTTTGGGAAAGGGCACTCTGCCTATGATTCCAGCAGAGTTGCACCCTAAAGAAAGGGCTGGGCAGGAGTGAGCTGACTGACAAGTAATCCTTGCCAACCAGAGCAACTCTTGCATCCCTATGGGTGGCTTAGTCTGTCTACACACTCCACACCTGGCTTTCACTACCTCTGACCTGCCAAGTATGGTCACCTAAGGTGGCCTAGCAGAGTCCTTATTAACTTGGTTTTTGTTCCTGCCCAGCACTCGGGGGACGGGGGGGGGGGGGACACACATGATAGTTGCCAAGACCCTGGCAAACTTCAGCATCTTGTTCTCACAGTAGTCTGCCTCAGCCAAGTGCCCATTACTGGAAGCCAGCAAGCTGGATAGCTCAGTTGGCTAGAGCATGGTGCTGATAACGCCAAGGTTGCAGGTTTGATCCCTATAATGGACAGCTCCATATTCCTGCATTGCAGAGGGTTGGGCTGGATGATGCTCAGGGTCCCTTCCAACCCTTCTAAGTCAGCCTTCTAAGCAGGTCCTGAGCGCCCGAGCAGCACTGACTCTTCCTGGGATTCTGAGCAAACAGCATTGAGAGCCCAGGCTCCTTCCTTACAGACCCTCTCAGGTGTAAGATTAGCAAAGGGGGTTTCTTGAGAACTCCTTGAAGTTTGCCAGGTGGCAGCCTGTGCAAGGACATTCTCTGGGCACCAGGTTGTGAAATTCCTTCATTGTGTAGTTTTTGTCGTGGACTGAAGATAAACCTCTTAACCCAGGCCCTTGAAATGGATATACCATACTTTTCCGTGTATAATACTAGGTTTTTTTATTTTAAACTAAGGTTAAAAATCTGGGGGCGTCTTATACACGGATAGTGCATATGCATATTTCCTTATACATGGAAAAATACGGTATTTTGGTACTTACTCGACTTTACTGTTTTAAACTACTGTACCCTGGTATGTGATCTGGTGGTAAAGGGTTGGTAAGCAATAAATGACTAACAACAATTGTTGCTAGCAGAGCCCTTGTGCTATATAGGGTCGGAATACACATTTCGGATGAGGCCAGGGAAGAATCCCAGCTCCCACCCACCTATACTGCTGTTCTTAACTTCAACCCTGCCTGCTTGGAAAATTGCCTCTCCCTGCTTCTGAACCTGTTTAGTCACTCTGTGATGAAGAAAAGACATGTTGCAAATGCCCAGAGGCATTTTTAAAGCACGTTTCAGCCTTACACACAAATTGGGGCTATGCCTTAGTTCATATTCAGCCCTGCCCACATTAGGGAGAAAGTTCCAGCAACTCCTGGCATGCAGAGAATAGAAAGTCTACTGAGAGGAGAGGAAATCTAGGGCTGGGATGAAAAAGATGAAGCAGGGAAAGAGCAGGGTCAGGGAACAAGAAAAGGGAAGGAAGAAGTGTAATTTCTAGGACTGGGCCCCCTAGAACTTCTTCTGATTGCTTCAACTGTTTCTGGTCAATGAACTTTTGGGAACTGGGGGAGGATAAATATGGGGAAATAAATTTAAGAGGAGTAGTAGGGACGCAGGTGGCGCTGTGGGTTAAACCACAGAGCCTAGGACTTGCCGATCAGAAGGTTGGCGGTTCGAATCCCTGTGATGGGGTGAGCTCCCGTTGCTCGGTCCCTGCTCCTGCCAACCTAGCAGTTCGAAAGCACGTCAAAGTGCAAGTAGATAAATAGGTACTGCTCTGGCGGGAAGGTAAACGGTGTTTCCGTGCGCTGCTCTGGTTTGCCAGAAGTGGCTTAGTCATGCTGGCCACATGACCTGGAAGCTGTATGCCGGCTCCCTCAGCCAATAAAGCGAGATGAGCGCCGCAACCCCAGAGTCGGTCACGACTGGACCTAATGGCCAGGGGTCCCTTTACCTTTACTAATAGTACCACTATGGGAAGTAACAGAACCATTCTATCCTGCCTTGGTCAGACCATACCTGGAATACTGTGTCCAGTTCTGGGTAAAACCATTTAAGAAAGATATTGACAAGTTGGAATGTGTGCAGAGGAGGGCCAAGATGATCAAGGGTCTGGAAAGCAAGCCTTATGAGGAACAGTTGAGGGAGCTTGGTATGTTTGGCCTGGGAAAAGGGAGACTGAGAGGAGATATGACAGCCATCTTCAAATATCTAAAGGACTGTCACATGGAAGAGGGAGCAAGTTTCCTTTCTCCTGCTCTGGAGGGTGGGGCTTGATCCAATGGCTTCAAGTTACAAGAAAGGAGATTCTGACTCAACATCAGGATGAACTTTCTGACAGTAAGAGCTGTTTGACAGTGGAACAGACTCCCTCGGGAGGTGATGGACTCTCCTCCTCTTGGAAGTTTTTAAGCAGAGGTTGGATGTCCATCTGTCATGGATGCTTTAGTTAAGATTCTTGCATTGAAGGGGGTTGTACTAGGTGGCCCTTGGGGTCCCTTCCAACTCTACAATTCTATTGCTTCCTTTAGAGATGATTTGGGGTTGGGTTCATGACTGGGGTAATTGAAAGAGAGATGAACAGATCTGGAGCAGAATCTCTTTGGAAATTAACAGGAAAGAGGGAGTAAACAAATAAAAGAAGAACTGATTTTTAGAGTGATCCGGCTGTGCGGGTAACTGAAAAATGTGCGCAAAGGAACTGAAAAATTCATCTGTGGATATTTGGATGGGGAATGAGTTGGTGTGCCTACTGTGACCTTTACATTCTACATTTGCATCTATACATATAAATTAGCATAAGCAAATTTTATCCTATGGGCCTAATGCATTGAAACTTTTGAATATCTAACAAGGCCTCTGTAGGGAAGGCCTGTCATATAGCACCACAACCACCATTCTGTTCTGGCACTGATTTGATTTTTGCACCAGAAATGATGTATCTGAAGCCACTTTGAGCCACCACTAAACTGCAGAACCGTTGCACCTCTGAGCTCAGGAGGGGCAATGCTTGTTTTGCTGTGATGTCTCTCATGCACACCTGCCAGGTCTTGCATGAATACAGAGCATTCACCCCACAACCCATGGCTGGCACAACTGGGTGTGGGGAGGCTGGAAGTTGCAATTGGCAGCCTATATCTGCCGAGACACCTCTGCCCCACCTCAAAGGGCCACCCTCTGAGGACAGTGATGCAGTAGGACTGAATCTGAAAAATTACTGGTGTGCTCTTGCCTCTGTTTGCTTCTGTAGGCAGGGGGAGAGGCTTGGGAAAGCCCCCTGGAGCAGCAGTCACAGCTTGGTGGATGTGCTCGGGTCCTGGGAGCGAAGCCATTGCTGTGACTAGCCATTGTACCAACCCAAACAGATCTGCACAAAAGAGGCTCTTTCGCCTCCAGGTTTGCTTGCTCTACTGCAAAGGTTGCTCTATTGAAGTTCAGATAAAGTGGGTCTTGGATTTCCCAGGGAGTGGCAGGTAGGGGCAGCCATTTCCCCTGCTCACAGCCACCTGTCCCGGAGCCTTCCCAGGAGTAACCCTGGTCTCTTTTCACAGCCTAGCCTTGGGATTTCTGCCCCCTCTCCATTCAGCAAAATCCACAGGGATGCCTGGCAGTTCTGGGATGGACATTCTCCCTAATAGATCTGCCTCTGAGCTCACTTTCCCTTGGGGCTGTAAATCTCCCTCCATGAGCTCATACAGTATGATGTCATTGGCACAAGTGTGCAGGGAAGGGAGCCAAAGGGAGAGAGGGTCTCTGTATGAGGGTCGTGGCCATAAAGCACCATTTCCCATCCTGCCCTACACGCCAGGATGCTGAACAAGTCCTGTATGTCTCTGAGAGCATGCAAAACCTCTCATCACTGCTAGCCAGAGTTTGCTCTCCAGAACTTAGGGATCAGAGGTCAAGCTTTTCAGACCTGGCAGCATAAGCCTTTCAGCTTAAGCACCTCCTTCATTTCTTCCTTCTGAGAACTAGGAGCCCAAGTCAGGATCCCTTGGTTCTTGGCAGTTTGGGGAATGAATCAGGATTTGGAAGGGGGAAGGCGGGGGCTCTTTCCTATCTCTCTCCCTGATGCCTTCCTCTCTCCCAAGCACACCCTCACCCTCCCAGTACCATGCAATGTTTGGAAGATGAGCACCAAAGCCTGGATTGCAACCTGTTTGTGAGCTATAAATACAAGCGGGTGGGAGACGGATGGAATGACAGACTGGGTGGGTGTCTGTGTGGGGGCGAGGAAGGAGCTAAAGTGGAAACCAGCTAAAAGGAGAAAACCACCTCCTAGCAGCAGCCAAAGCTCAGGCAGCAATGGCAAAGAGGACTAATTTTGGCACAGGCCTCTTTTCTGCCAAAGATCTCTGGGCAGGTGTGTGTGGCGGGGGGGTCCTAACACATCACCTTTTGCAAGCCCTGGCCCATGAGTGGATCTCCTGGGGAGGGTGTGCGCGCCGTAGTTCTGAGCATAGGTATTGCAGTCAGGTTTCAGGTTCAATCCCTGGTACCTCCACCAATATTTTTTTAAAACCCCCAAAACAGATGATAGAAAAGACCTTTCTCTGCCTGAGACCCTGCCTGGAGAGCAGATGTCAGCCAGAGCAGGCAATGCTGGTCTAGACTGCGGCACAAAACCATTTTTTCATTCCTGCCACATTTTGTTGGGGACCACAGGCCAGTGGTGGGCAGTTTGCCCCCTTTTCTTTCCCCACTCCCTCCTTAGCACTCATACAAACTACCCCTGAGCCATTGGATGCCTCTCCTCCTGCACAGATGAACAAAGAGTTTGAGCTAGTTGGAAGCAGCTTATTATATTCCAGGTTACTGATCAGTGTGGAAAGGTTGTGCTCCTGGGCAAGTGGAGGAGGACCCATATGAGCTGACCTCCAACCCCTTCATGCTAATCCCTGAGTGCTTCTTGCCCATCTCTCCTTCATTTGAACAGTTTGGGTTGCTTTCCTCCTTTTCCCTCCTCCCTCCCCCAAATCTCTCTTTGTGTATGTGGGGATGGGGGTGGGTTACTAGTTTAGGAATATGTTACAACTGCCCTTGATGAGACTCAACTACCCTTCATGAACAAGTCACTTACTGTCTCCTGGCTTCAGTTCTACTGTCTGCAAAACTGGGTAGGAACACCTTTTCTCTCTTGGTGTGGTTGCAAAACCATCAAAATACTCTGTACAAAAGGTTAAGGCTCCTGTCCTCAAACTACACTTAAAGAGGTATAATACCACTTTGAACAGTCATGGCTTCCCTTAAAGGTTCCTAGGAAATGTAGATTGTTACGGGTGCTGAGAATTGCTAGGAGACCCCTGCTCCCCTTCCAGGGTGGTTTAACAATGCATTCCTCTTCTCAGGGAATTCTGGGAATCGTAGCCCTATGAGGGGAATAGGGGTCTCCTAGCAATCTGTTCTTTCTCCATGGACCATGGAGGATATACTCTGCCCCCGTGGTCAGAGGCAGCAGTGCTTCTGAATGCCAGTTGCTGGAGGGGAGAATGTGCTTGTGCCCGGGTCCTGTTTGTAGGTTTCCC